CAGAGTCTTGAGAACCCTTTCATGGCTAGACAGCCCCTTGGCTAACCAAATGAGAGCTCTGGGTCTCCTTAGGATGTCCTTGGCGGGGACCAGTTTTATGCTTATCCCCTTCCATGCGTTGCCTAGTCTGGCAACGCAGTCCGCCAGGAAGTCCCGCGAGAACTCATCGTCGCACCTGATCAGCCGGTGCCCCCTAACCATTTCCGAGGAGTCAAAGGAGGGTGACTGGCCCGTTGGCTCGGACAGTATTTTGTCAGTTACCATCTCCGCCAACTGGGTCTCGACCTCCTCCCATTTCTACATCAGAAGGCGCCCATCGTCATTGAGCTCATCGACAAGTGCCATTGCGAGGCTGTCTCGGGCCACCTCGCTGAACTTTTTTTGCCGGTTTGACGAAAGTGGTCGGTCTCGGTGCTCCCTTAGCGTCCTTGGCTCTCTTCGGAGCACTCTCGCTCACCTCTTGTGAGCGGTTGCGCTTTGCTTGGGGAGGCAAAAGCGCTTCTGGGTGCTCCTTTTCATAGCGCTCGTATTCCTCGATTACTGCAAGAAATCTGGCTTTGTCTGCAGCGTTGCGCGGGTCGGCTTTGCCCTCCTGTTGTGTCGCTTGAGGTTGTGTCGCTTGAGGTGTGCGTGTATTTGCACTTCCCTCTGTATTGGACGGAGCTAAAGTCTCATCGTCTGAGCGCAGTAGCTCCTCCTCGTCCAATTCGCTTTCCGTCTATGTGTGTTGGGGTTTTACCTCCCCCACGAGTTCCGAAGCGGATTGTTTGGTTGTGTTCATATTTCCTAAACGCCCGCGTTGCTCGGCAGGGCGAGCGCGGCGGGCCCGAGGGGTTTGGGGCATTGAATGATGATCAACCGTGGCTTCGCCCCTAAGCCACGGCAAGGCTCGTTCCAACCTAGGGTTGCCCGGCCTTGGGAAGGCTCCGTTCGAACACAGCAGGTTTAACCCCTCAGCTGCGAACCTTATAGTCAGTGGTCACGGGTCGCTTTACACCCCTGACTTGAGGGGAGGCAGTTTCAAGATTTGCCCATATCTCGGTAGGGATTGGGAGTCAAAGGATTATTGGGTGAGGGATTTACAGGAGGTGCCGCTCGCATTGGCTGTACCGTAGTACGTTTCCAGGAGGTACCACGCGGAGGACCTTCTCCGAGGAGAAGGTGGTGTCTATCAAACCGATATTCACCTGCGAGTCGACTTGGTGCTCTATTAGAGCCAAGAAACATTCATCAACAGTTGCCCTGCTAACTTTGCCTTGGATTGGATGATAATGAATTAAATATAGAAGATAATGAATTAGATGTAATGGATAATTAATTAAATGTAGAAGATAATGAATTAGATGTAATGAATAATGAATTAAATGAAAATAATAATTGTGGGATATGTAAAGATTATGGTAACAATGAAGATAGAATTAAATATAATTTACGAAGCAATATGAATAATTATATATGTAAAGACAATTGTAAAAATGATAATGAGGATAAAGGAAAAAAGATTGTATGTGGAAGAATAACAAGAGCTACTTCGGCTAGGATCTGGAGATCCTAAAAGTCAGGACAGCCGAGTTGTGGGAACATAGTAGAAACACGATGTAAAATAAGTGTAAGCAATGTATTATATCAATTGTAAGTAATGTTTGTATATTGATAATAAGTAATGATGTATATCGAGGGTCTGCGATCACTACCTTTTTGTCAGCGTTTGTGTCAAGAGAAGTTCGCAATTTTCAGGTGCGTAACAAAATAAAGAAAAAACTCAAAGATGAAAAGGCCTATAGTATATATATATTTTTATACCCTTGCAGGGTATTATAATTTCAGTCAGAAGTTTGCAACGCAGTGAAGGAGACATTTCCGACCCTATAAAGTATAAATATATGTTAGGTATTTGCATAACGACTAATTTGAATTTTAAGATCAATCTGGCAACGCTAGTAATACGATACACAGTACTTAAGAATACGTTGTACAACACTAGAGAATAAGAGACAAAAGCAATGTAGAAGTAACTGTAATATGGAATAACCAGAATCGGAATAAAAACCTCGTGTGAAGACATCACATAAATGGCGACGAGAGAAAAATTTGATTAATATCAATATATTCCACGACATCAACTTGTAATACAAGCAAATAAGACCAACTTTTGGCAAGCAAGATCAACATGGCCAACAAGAGCATTATTGTGTCAAATTTTACACAGGCAACTAGTTTGCCCGAGTTTTCACCAAAACTAACCTCATGGCACATTTGGAAATAACGACTGGACATACATTTCACGGAACTCAACTGCACGGACGACAATGTGAAGAAGGCGATTATGCTTAAATCCATCGGAGACGAGACGTACAATGTAATACATAGCTTATGCAGCCCCGCAGCTCCCGCAACGAAAACCTTCGAGCAGTTGTGCAGCATATTAAATACTCATTACACGACTCCCACAATAATATTTCAGGAGCGAAAAAAATTTCATATGGCTTGCAAAAGAGCCGACGGAACAGTAGCTGAATGGTTTGCGAGGGTCAAACATCTTGCCCTCAGCTGCAAGTTTGGCTTACATTTAAATGCAAATTGTGACAAATTCGTCGTAGGAATGAGTAATGCGATCTTCGAGCGGCTTTGCGAAGAGGACGAAACGCTGACAGCCGAGCAAGCACTGCGGAAAGCATTAATATGCGAATCTAAGTTTGCGGCAAAAGAAGAAGACGAAAGAAATAGAAATGTTAATCATGTATCAGTATCCAATTGAAGTTTAAGCGAAGAACAATATATTAATCACAGTATTTTCAGCGTAAACAGCAACAGTATCACCAATGGAGACGAAATGTAAACACTGCCAATTGAAATTCAAGGCATAAATGTTGTGGCAACCTGCGATACTGGTGCGCCATATACTCTGATTCCAGCCAACATGTTACATTAACTCAATGTATCGCTAAGACATTGTAAGATCCCATATGTTGACTATAGTGGCGACCGTATTCAAATTAAGGGTGAGTTTGATGCATCTATAACGTTTCGCAGCACAACTAAGAGCATTGTCGTAGTTGAGAGCATTTAACTTTGAACTTTGTCAAGTAAACTCAATTAATAGCGGTACTGATTATACAGCTGTAGCTAAGCAGATTGGAAATGAATTTTCGGAAGTCTTTCAGGAAGAACTAGGTTCATTTGTAGGTCCGAAAATTTCATTAAAATTTTCAACGGAAGTTAAGCCAGTTTTTTTTTAAACCGAGACCTCTACCATTACGTTGGAAGGTAAAAGTAGAAGAAAAACTTAGAAATTTAGTTGATCGAGGCATGTTAGAATTTATTGACGATAGTGAATGGGGAACACCTCTAGTTCCAATACTGAAACCGGATGGCGACATTCGAGTGTGCGCAGATTATAAGGTTACAGTCAATAAGTTCCTAAGTGACTTTATATATCCATTACCTCGCATAGACGAGATCTTTGCAGCACTACAAGGAGGAGAGCTAAGCTTGATTTATCACAAGCATACAAACAATTACTATTGGATGAGAATTTTCAACTTTTATGTACCTGGAGTACACACATTGGCATTATGAAAGTAAAACGATTACCATTTGGCATAACAGCAGCAGCCATTTTTCAGAAAACTATTGAAAATGTGTTGAGAGGCATTCCAAATGTAGTGGTATACCAGGATGATATAACCATTACAGGTCCTGATTTCAAAACAAATTTATCCAACCTAAAAACGGTCTTGAAAAAATTTAAAATTGCAGGTCTGCGATTAAATAAAAATAAATGTAAATTTTTCCAAGAGAGCATTTCGTATCTTGGTTTTACCATAAATAAGGAAGGATTTAGAAAGAATAATGAAAGAATCTCTTCTGTACTCAATGCACCAGCACCGACAAATGTTTCAGAGCTAAGAGCATTAACGGGCATGGTCAATTATTATTCTAAACTCATTGATAAGTTGTTTCAGAAAATGTATCCACTATATCAATTGTTGCAGAAGCATTCAAAATTTATATGCAATTCAGATTGTCAAGCTGCATACGACAACATGAAGAAAGATATAGCATCTGAAAACATGTTGATTCATTTTAACCCTGAGCTGGAAATCGTTCTTACAACAGACGCATGCAACACTGCGGTTGCAGGCATACTTTCTCACAGAGATAGGAACAACACTCTAAAATCTATTGCATTTATATCAAGGGCGCTTCAAAAGAATGAACAGAAATATAGTACAATCGAAAAGGAAGCTTTAGCTATTATATTTTCAGTTATGAAGCTAAGACATTATTTACTGGCCCAAAAATTTACACTGCGCACTGATCACAAACCACTTCTTGCCATATTTGGTGAAGGAAAAGGTCTTCATGTTGAATACGTGAAAGGCACTTCCAATGAAGTTGCATTATATGGGGTTACCGAACAATCATTCCCAAATGTTTACAAAAACAAGTTCTTGAATATTTACACTTGTCTCACTTGGGAGTAGTAAAATCAAAAGCCATGGCAAGATCATACATATGGTGGCCCGGTGTTGACAAAGACATAGAAGGACTCATAAGCAATTGCGATCCCTGCCACCAGTTGCAGGAAAATCCGAATAAGAGTGCCTTGATACAGTGGTACCCGGAAGAATCTATATGGGAACGCATTCATATAGACTTTGCAGGTCCAATTAAAAATAAATACTTGTTTGTAATTATAGACTCTTTGTCAAAATGGCCTGAAGTTTTTATAACGTCAGACATCACTTCTCATTTCACAATATCAAAATTAAGGGAACTCTTTTGCAGGTATGGTTTAGTCCGAACTTTAGTCAGTGACAATGGACGACAGTTCATTTCAGACCAGTTTAAGGAATTTATGAATATAAATAAAATAAATCATATTCTCACAGCCCCTGGGCATCCCTCCACGAATGGCCAGGCTGAAATTTTTGTAAAAACACTAAAGAAATCCACTTATGCGTAACTCAAAGATAATACAAATGAAGACTTAGAGACTGTTGTCAATAGATTTTTAGCAGATTTTAGAAATACTAAACATTGCACTACAGGTGAGACTCCTGGAAACTTGGAAAGCGAACGTATTTATGCACTCTTTCTCAAACTAATCGCAGCATTAAACGTCATACTGATCAAATAAGAGAAACTCAACTGGCGGCAGAGTCCTTGGAGAACGTGGCGTACCCAATCGACCAGAAATGTTCAAATAATATGAAAAGCAGTATGGACATTTCGACTCCAATGGACAATAAAATTGAAACTCCCAAGCGGATGTTGAGACCGCGCGCAGGAGGCAAAGTAGTTAAGAACTCAGAGAGATTGCACACCCATTGTTAAACAACTTGAAGGGGTAACGTGTTAGGTATTTGCATAACGACTAATTTGAATTTTAAGATCAAAGAAGAACTTAAGAATAAGTTGTACAACACTTGAGAATAAGAGACAAAAGCAATGAAGAAGTAACTGTAATATGGAATAACCAGAATCGGAATAAAAACCTCGTGTGAAGACATCACAATATATCAGCATCAACAGCCGAGTCGATCTAGCCATGTCCGTCTGTCCGTTTCTACGCAAACTAGTCCCTCAGTTTTGAAGCTATCTGAATGAAACTTTGCAAATAGTCTTCTATATGCTCTCACTGCTATATATTTCGGAACGGGCCAGATCGGACGATTGTTTTTCAACATTTTTGCATAATTTTTGAGATATTTATTTATTTAAATTTATAATATAAAAACCAATCTGCAAGGGTATACAAACTTCGGCAAGGCGAAGTTAGCTTCCTTTCTTGTTTTATATTTATTAATAAATGAAAGAAAACAATATTTATTTTTACTTTCTTTTAATTGTGTTTATATTAAAATCAAATCAGAAAATAAATTTATCTTATATAATAAAAATTATTTACAAAAAAATTATAACTGCTGTTTTACAACATTTTTGCATCATTTTTGAGATATGGCCATTTTAAATTATTTCGGAATATATATATTTTATAGCTGCCATAGGAACAATCGGGAAATTAATAGAAAATCATTTATAACTTCGTTGTTTTTAACGTATTTTCATCTATCCTGAGATATAGGTTTATTTTATTATTTCAGAATTTTGGCATACATTTTTTGAAAATCGGACAACTATATCATATATCTGCCATAGAAACGATCGGTAGACGTTAACATAATAAGTATAGGTAAAATGTAATGAACTAATATCTGCAAGGGTATACAAACTTCGGCGTGCCGAAGTAAGCTTCCATTCTTGTTTTAGTTTCAGTTTCATTTTTTCCGCCGAGCTAAGGCTTTAACAGTATCTTATATAAAAGATAACAAAAACATGTTTTCTTTCCTTGTCCCGATAAAAAGTGTGACCGCTTAAGGGTCCATTCTGGTTAGATGAAAAAAAAATCGATTTTTTTTTTCATTTTTCGATAGCTTTAAGTGTGTAGAATATCATACTAAAAGGGAAAATCGAAATACGTAATTGTCGACGGCCAAACAATCGATAGGTAGAATAAGTATTGCAAGGAAATTCTAGTATTTTGTTAAGAATTGTTAAGTAACACCCTTTCCTTTTGGACCTACACAAGTGGGAGCCGTTTGAACGCAACTCCACATGAGCAAAGACAACGCCTTTTATTCGCAGTCCTAGGGAAACTGCAAGGGCAACTTGCGCTGGAGGACTTGATGCCCAGCTAGAGAGTTGCCAGGAGTGCATTCCCGTCCCAGTAGCAGAGTCGCAGTCAGCGATATAGTGGAGCGCAGCCAGCGCCGAACACTGGGTACGGACGGAGTCGCAGGAGCGCAGGGAGCGCATTCCCGTACCAGTAGAGGAGTCGCAGTCAGCGACATTGAGGAGCGCAGCCAGCGCCGAACACTGGGTACGGACGGAGACGCAGTCAGCGTCAATTGAGGTGTCCGCAGACAGCGGGCAGAAGGCGCAAGGAGCGCCAAGCGTCGGATTGACGCAGGCTGCGGCACAAGGGCCGCCATTTTGAAGCGCGCTGAGGCAGCGCCATATTGAACCTGGGATGCAGCATTCCCCCAGGAGGAGTTCCCGGCTGAACGGAGGGGAAGCCACCCCTACAACAACGCGAGCGGATAAGTAGCCAGTGAGTAGTGGAGCGGGAAACCGGCCGCAAGTGAACATAACCACGGCGGCGGCCATTCCTCGCCCAGCCACTACGGTGACTACAGTAGCGTCCCAACCGAGGAGTACTGCTGTCACAGCTGCAAGTTTAGTGCCGGAGGTGAGCCAGCCACTCACGTCGTACCTTATGGAGAGGATTACGGCGTTGGAAAATGAGCTGAGGCAGGCTAAATCCTGAACAGTGAGAGCACCGCCAATCGCGCACCAATCGCAGTTGGCCCAATCGCAAATGGCGCCGACAGTGGAGCGTCGTGGCGGCCGCCATCTTTGGGTGGACCGCCAGTAGCCACATCTAACGTTGAGGCCCCAACTAACGGGGTCTGGCCTGTCCCAAATAGCTGTGTCGGTGCGAGCAGTGTGGCCTGCACGCAGCCGCCATATTGGAGTGGACCGCCATTGCTAACGACTAGTAATCATCTTGTGGAGCCACTCTGTGCTACGAGTGTTGCGCAGACAGCGCATGGATTCGTGCTACCGGGCGGGAGCATCCACAACGTGGCAACAGCATCGCCATTTGTTGGATCCTACGCCGCGATGACGCCGAATGGAGCCCAAGGAGCGAATGGGCCAAGAAGGCTTCCGGACCTGCCTATATTTGGAGGGCAGCCCGATGAGTGGCCTATATTTAACTGTGCGTTTGTGGAGACGACCCAAGCATACAACTGCACAGACCTGAAGAACAACCAAAGGTTGCTGAAGGCGCTGAAGGATGAAGCACGCGAGACAGTGAAGTCGCTGCTGATTCACCCTGGGAACGTCAGCACCGTGATGGAGCAGCTGCGCTTTAGGTTTGGCCGACCGGAGCAGCTTATACGCAGCCAGCAGAACAGCGTGCGAGAGGTGCCGCCGATTTCGGAGCAGCACCTGGCGAGGATCGTTCCCTTCGCAACCCGAGTGAGTAACCTCACGGCCTTCTTGCAGTCAGCGAAGGCGGAGCATCACCTGGGGAACCCATCCCTTATGGAGGAGCTTGTGGCAAAGCTTCCTACGAGCAAGCGGATGGATTGGGCCAGGCATGCTGCATCGATCGAGCCCTTTACCACTGTAGCGCACTTCAACGCGTGGCTACAGGAGTACGCAAACACCATGTGTACGATTTTGGACGTCGAAGGAAAGGAGCCAAGGCGTCGAGTCCGGCATGCGAGCGTCGACCAGAACGGATGCGAGCAGCGGGATGATCGACATGGAGGTTGTCCCATTTGTGGAGGGTAACATGCTACGACGAGCTGTAGAGAGTTCATTGGAGCTTCGCCACCGGGAAGGTGGAGCATGGTGAAGAGGCATCGGCTCTGCTTCACATGCGTACGGATTGGTCATACGGCTAGAACCTGCGATGTGCCCGGTGAGTGCCAGATTAACGGATGCCGCAAGTTGCATCACCGTCTGCTACATAGAGCGGACGAGGGGCGAAGATGGCCGGAGCAGCGAAGTGGCTTCAGGCGCCACGACGGTGGAAACCAGCAACCAGCAGCCAGCAGGTGGTTACAGGGACCACGAGAGGAGCCAGCAGTCGGCTGTCCTCAGAAACAGCCTGGAGAGAAGGGCCCCGCAGCCAGCGGAGGCACCTGTGCAGAGGAATTTAAGCTGCATTGACGCCGAGGGAGGCCGACTTCTGTTCCGTATACTACCAGTAACGCTGTACGGAGCTGGTCGCCAGGTGAACACATACGCGCTCTTGGACGAATGATCCTCCGTCACGATGATCGACGACGATCTAAGGAGGGTTCTGGGAGTGCGAGGCGAATATCGACAGCTGAACATTCAAAGGTTTGGCAGAAAGGCCAGCAGAGAGCCAACAACCGTGGTGAGACTTGAGATAAGTGGAGCTGGGAAGCCCACTCGCTACGCGTTGAGGAACGTGTATGCCGTTTCGAGTTTGAGTCTGCCGATGCAGATGCTCTGTTGGCAAGATGTCCAGGGCGTGCATAAGGATGCGCGTCTGCCGATGAAGCCCTACGGTGGTGCCGAAGTTGCTCATCGGACTGGACCACGGACATTTGGGATTGCCACTTAGGACGAGGCGGTTTGCCAGAGAGGGACCGTACGCGGCCGCAACCGAGCTTGGATGGGTTGTGTTTGGGCCGGTAAGTGGACAATCGACAACGCCGTCACCGAGGTCCTGCCTTCTAGCCGTGTCAATGGAAGATACGATCGAAAAGATGGTGGAGGACTACTTCGAGATGGAAAGCTTTGGTGTGAAGCTCGCGCCACAGGTCGCAGCCAGCGATGACGCGCGGGCACAAAGGATCCTCGAAGACACCACGAATGTGGCAAATACAGCGAAGCTGTTGCTGCCAGAGATATGGAGGCAGAAGATCCAGTGGGACGAAGCACTACCGGAGGAGATAGGCAGAGCCTTTGCTGCCTGGCGCAGGCAGATGGACGCCGTGGGACAGTTCCGATGTCCTCGCCACTATTTTGGGCGCGGTGCAGTTGGGACCATAGAGTTGCACGTGTTCGTGGATGCGAGTGAATCTGCATTTGCGGCGGTGGCCTATTGGAGGGTCATGTACGAGGATAGCAACGTCCTGGCTAGTTTCGTGTGCGCAAAGACGAAGTGCGCGCCGATGAGAACGGCAAAACTTTATGGGCAGTTAGTTCATCGGACGGTGAATGCGCTTTGACGGTGTGTGGGAAGACCCTATAAAAAAAGTGGAACTCGTGTTTCCACAGTGCTGCGTTAAAGTGCATCCGCATCCTATAAGAGCTGATCGATCAGCTGTGGCTTATGAAAACGTAAACAAAGATGGCTGAAGCGGCCGATGTGGAAGTAAAATGAATAGGTCATCAACTATTACGGCTGTTTAACAACAGCAAAACCACAGATTGCGCCAGATTTTATTCACACTAAATTTAAATGAATTGGATGACAAAGAATTTGAGATTCTCTAATGATTTTTCTCTAACAAAGAGCAAATTCCCCGAAGAGTGTGTATAGATGGTATAGGCTTCCTAAATCTATAAAATAAAGTAGAGGTAGGCAGTTTATATTGAATAGTAGCAATTGGCGACATTTTGGGGCAAGAATATACAGAAAAACACCAACAACTGTTTTGGGCATGTTTGTAGCTTTGGCGCCACATTTTAAATTCCATATTTCATTTGTTCCTCGCCAAGTTTGTTTACATTTTCGTAGTGTTGGTCAAATTTTCAGTGTTAAGAAGAAGAAATCAGAGTTGCACCGAAAAACTATCGCCTAACTATCGCCAAACAAACGGTCGTTAGATTTATACTGTCTTCCCACACAGCACATTTGTGAGGAACGTTTGGGATTTTTCACAAATGTGAAACTCGTGTTCCCACACAACATTAAAGCACATTCAACATCCGAACAGCTGATCGATCAGCTGTGGCTCATGAAAACGTAA